ACACCTTGTCGAACCAATTCCCCATGAGGAAATAAACGTTACAACCAGTATTCGAGAGTCATAGCTATTGTTCCATAAAATCGATTATCGTCATTTGAATAATTATGGAAAACGAAGCTCTCAAGAATCATTTTTCGAGAATACTCGGGAAAGCTAACCACTACGTGTTTAGGAAAATGCGGCAACCATGTAAAAAAGGGACACTGATATCTGTCGTTGGGAATGGCACTATAGATAAGAATGAGACGAAATATAATGATGGCGGAACATTTAATGTTTGCTGATCTTTTCATCGTTGTGGGTTTATGCGTTCAGTGTACACTTTCCCTCCACTCTCCACTGAAACGAGTTGTTTAGTGCGAAGAACAATTCTTAATGTGCCCCATCGTCATCATTCGGGTGGTCCCACTGCGATATGGCTAGATCGAGTGGTTCAGGTAAGGCTACAGTGTATGGTAATGATCTGGTAGTAGTGAGCTGGGGCACAGTTCAGGTAAGTTTCGGCTTAGTGAGGGCATGTTCCTCGATCCCATCGATCATTGCTGTGTCTCCTGAAAAGATCCGTAACTTTCATAAAGCTATGCGATACCGTGAGCTTCGTGTACCAAGGGCAGGAATCTATAGGTCTCACCAAGATGTGCCGCCTTAGTTGACAGGAACAAGTGGAAGAAACGAGCGAATTAGAAAAAGCCCCCTCCAACCTTGGGCAGTGCCTCGCAATCAGCCTAGAGTGAGTTTTCATGAAACGCACTCGGGAGCTTATGCTAACCTTTTTTGAAATGATTTTCAGAGGCATGTCGGTCGTGTTCTCTAATAGCGCAGGTTCGGGACTGCCTTAGCCGTTCGTTTCTTAAATTGTCTGCTGTAGCCCTGAGCGACTACCCTTGCTCTTGCTCTTTATTTTGTCAAATGCTACGTCCGTGGCTTTCTTGTCTGTCCTGAGTCTTCGCCAAAAGCAAACATATGGTGTCAACGTTCTTTCACCCAAATTCAAGGTCAGAAACTTGATCAGGTACTGCTTTTCAGACTCTGGTGAAGGCGTTTACGCCAAAACGTACGTAAACCAATAAACTGGAACACTTCCACCAAATGCTCTAGAAAAATCCATGAGACTCGCGATGAAGGAGTACATGACCAGGTGAAAAAAACAACCTCGTCAAACAGACTTGAGCTTTGCTGTTAAGAGTGTCCATAAAGATCATCCTAACAGCACTTTTTGCGATCAACAAAGTCG